TTGTCCAAGCGTGGTTGGGTGATTCAAACTGCGCGCGTATTTTTTTTGTTTATATCATTAACATGTGTTTTTTTATATAATTATTGTTTTCCATTTACACTACAAACGCGTTGCCTAGCTCAGTTGGTTGAGGATGTGTATTGCAAGTATTGGGACCTGGGTTCGATTCCCAGATCCCCCCACATAATCCATAATTTTTGTTTCAACATATTCACGTGCAGCCTTCCTTCAACGCTCCACCATGCATCCTCACGCCTAAGCTTGCCACGCCCTCATGATGATCAATCCAATGGTTACAGAATAAAGAGCATGATGCGCTCTAGTCAACCAACATGCACACAAACAGAAACTCAACGAGGCTTGCTTTGTCAATGGGCCTGAATTGCTGCAATTTTACCTCCTCATGGGTCTGACACCCCCCTTGGTTTGCATAATTATTTTCTTTTCTTTCTTTTAATTTCTTTCATTTGTTTTTTTATAATTATCATTAATTCACTAAAATAATTTATTTTTTTTCATAATAAAATCAGAAAATCAAAATACAAAATATGTTTAATTATTTATTAATTTCCTCACTAATTTATTTTTGTAAATAAACTCTAACAATTAATTTTAGTTTAATTTAGGTTTTAAAATTTAATCTTTTTTCTTAATAAATAAAAAATATATAGAATTAGGTTTTACCTTTTTTTTCTTAATTAATTATTTTCATCATTATTATTATCATTATTAATTATTATTAATTTTGTAAATAATATATAAATTAATTAGTCTAAATTAGGTCAACTTTGACGTTTTATTAATAATTAAAATAATTTAGAACTAGGGTTTCACTAACTTTAATTTTAATTCTTTTCTTTATTTTCATAAATACCAAAAACATAAAAACACTTTCTTTTCTTTAATTAAATAATAATTAGGTCCTAATTTCATTTAATTTCAAGCAAAGGGTCAACACCATCGGACGTTCATTTTAATTCTTGTCGCGCATTATTTTCTTTTGATTATTATGTAACTGCTTTCCGGATGTAATAGTAATTAGGTATTTTTTACTTTCCGCATCTTTTATCAAAAACGGGTCTTTGTATTTTGGCGATGTATAGACCCGCGCCTTGTAATAGCGTAGCTTTTATATTTCCGTCTTTTAATTTTCCGCACTCCTAAATTCTAAATTGCATGAAAGAATGTATGGTAATTAAAAACAACGCGTAGCTCACAATGCCCTGATCAAAGATAACTATTAACATGAAAACAACACACAATTCACACACCACTTCTAGGGTACGCCTCACTCGTTGCCTTCGAAACGTGGTCGTCAAGTATAGGACGTTTTAGCGGTCCTTATGTCCATGATCTAGTTGCCTCGAAACAGTTGCCTCGGAATAGTTGCCTCGAAACGGTTGCCTCGGATTAAAAAAAGATCAAGGACATAAGGGTAGCTTCTAAGGCGTCCTGCTGTTGCTTCGGTGACCACACTGTCCCTACGATCGAATTGACCCGAACACCTCCAACGGTGGTGCTACCTACCTCTCAATGGTGGGATGGCACTACCTTAAGGACTTCTACACAGCCTAATTCCTTAGGGTAGGTAGATGACTCATGGATACTTGCTCTTTTCAAAAACAAATCAAAAACCTTTTCACACTGACACTTTCAAAAGACTTTCAAAACAAATTTTTCAAACACTCTTGAGGACAGATACAAGAGTCATTCAGAAATCTTTCAATGAAACTTTTTCAAACCCACTCACATTTTGAAAAGCAAACATTTTGAAAACATAAGAGCAAGTATCTAAGAGCCCATGGATAACCATGGATAGAAAGGGTGATAACACCTTCCCTTTCTATAAATCTACCTCTCGAACCGAGAAACGTTCTCATAAGGAATTTTGGTGTGCTTTTGTCCTGTCCATGTTGGAGAAAATAAAAGACGGTGGCGACTCTTGCTTCCGCGACATTTCGCGAACCAGCGTTAAACAGTCAGTTCTAAATCCACCGATCACAGACACATATCGAATACAAAAGGAAATAAACACATTAATAACCTGGACAACTGACCGGCCATGCTCTAATACCACTAATGTAACACCCCCCAAACCCCTTACAAATAATATGGCATAATCATAGTAAATTAGAATGCATATCAGACGAAGGAGTCACATTTACTTCATGATAACAACACAATACACAAGTCATGCTTATAACACACATTTAAAATTATGTTACGTACACTAACACATATGCATCTCGCAGAAGAATAATTATCATTTCAAAATAATATTAATGATTGAAATCTCATACTGACAATCATATCATAAAATATTAGGCACTAAAGGCCACCATCACATAATCTTGAATACAACATAAATAACTCTCAAAACAAATATCTCTCAAAACAAACATGAATATAGTAATATGACATGAATCCAAAAGTTCCTCGTGTTACATGAACAGAGCATGAATCAATACCTAAATAAGGATAAATAAAGAACTAGCTCCTCCGACTAATCCTCACTAGGAGTACCACAGCTATCCTCGGTATCTGAGCAAAGTCGTATATAACATCATTCCAATAGAAGGGTTAGAATTCATATCATTATAGAAATATATAATAATAAGTAATGCACAACAAACATACATCAAATGAATTCATCACACTTTACATAATCAGGTATTCAAAATACTTTAACACAATTCATATGATTTCATATACAACATTGCTCAATGATTCAAGATTCAAAGATAATTAATCACAAATACCACTAATATAACATGCACACCAATATCACATATTGCACACCAATTCAATATTCACATAGACACATGTGACTCCAATGTAACTCAATGTCGTATGCATGTGGTACCGACTGTTATCCTTACCAGTCCGGTCGGGCCCACGTCTCCAAGACAGATAACCACCAAAAAGCATATTCTCTAAGCTTTCAAACCCCCATCTTCAGGTTTGGGACAATTCAATAATTCCCACGGAATTACTACACATTTTCTCTTGACAAAAATGATGCATGTGCAATCTCAACATAAATATGCAATTAAGACCATCTCCATATATTAATCATACAAGCATATTTCACATAATTCAACACATTTGAATTATCTTCACCAAATTGCACAACATACATATTTCATGTCATCAATCACACACAATGAAATATCATAGCATTAATCATATCAACATATCATTATAAAATGTATAAAACAAGTCCAAAACATGTTATCTTCAATCAACATCAATTCCCAACAATTACATACACAAAATAAAGTATCATATTTCCATCAAAAAGTGCATCAAAATCAATCCAAAACACATGATTAAATTCCACAAAATCCATGACAATTCATGATAAATCATATACATCTATGATCCGTAAAAATTTCAGAAAATAATAAGTTTTGCATTCCATACCGTGCTAAGCGGCCTCTGCGAAATGCAGAAAAATTATGTTTCGAACAGCTTCTGCATTCTACAAATTTATCCATCCAAATCTCATTCAAACACATATTTTCACCAATTAAATGTATTATAACTTATATCTAACATATAGAATCAAATAAAAACATTAAAACATGATTTCCAACATCAATTTCATGATTTCACATTCAAACCCTAACATGTCAAAATCTAGAAATTGAAGAACAATTTCCTAATTGATGTTACTACCCATCACATACTATTACATACACCCATAAATCAATGAATACTCACCCTTACCTTAGATGTAGATATTCTAGGGTTCTATCCTCTTACCTTCCCAATTTCTCCTTTTTTTCCTCTTTCTTCTCTTCTCTTGTTTTCTTCCCTTTCTCTTTCTTATTCTATATTTTTCTTATTTTGTTCAACTCTTACTAACTCTATATGGGCTTAACTTCACTCACCCACTCTAATGTAACATAAGGCCCAAATGTGTATTTTTCTATTCTTACACTCAATAACACAATAACATATAATACACACTTATTACAATTAAATCAATTATGCACATAATCACACAAAATAATATCATTATCAAACCAATAATAATTATCATGGCAATTAAATAATAAAATAATTAATAAATAAAATAGGGGTGTTAGACATATCAATCAACATCCTTCATATTAACAAAATCATAACTACATTAAATTATTGATTAGGAAATTTTCAAATAAATTCAGTTAAACTTCATTGAAAATTAAGAAAACATATAGCTTCCAGTATTGTTTCCACAATGGTTGCATTGCTGATGACTGACAATATGATTTCTATTGAAGATCCAGTTACAAAACCATTTGGCTTCAGTTACATAGCTTGCAGCATAACCTGATATCACACTGCCAGATCAAAAATGAATGTGACTGCTAACCTGTTCCGCCTTGAGTTGCAGTAACTTTCCACTTCAAACATAGATATTAGAAATCATACATGATAAGATGTTATACACAATTCCAAAGAGCACATGCCATAATAGTTTTCATTGACCTCGAGCACGTCAATCTGCATCACTTAAAAGGAACTTTAATTAGCATAAATATATCTGGAACCGCAAATTAAATTAACAAACAAAATGAACTTCATACTGCTTGACAAACAAAATCATCAATATGACAAGCAAATTAAATATGATTATAGCTTGCATAAAAGACCAAAATAAATCAAATAAAGTTATAGTACCTCATTCAACATTCTATGTAACTCATCTCTGACCTCAACAACTTTATCCATGTCATTGAAATCAATGAAATAATTAGGGATTAGGGTTTATCAGTTTCAACTATATAAACTGAAAGGGAAAAAAAAATACCTAAGCAATCTCCTTCTTCGTTAATGTTAGATAAATAGAAAGAGGAAGAGAAGTAAGAAATAAGAACCTCGATTTGCAATTGTCTTATCTCTTCAAAGAATTTTTTTGCCTGCTCCGTGAATCTTTTCCTTTGGTTTTGTCTACCATTTTCCAACTCCGCCGGAGACACAGATAGACAGTCATTTTTTTCACCAAAGAAATTTCAATCTGACTCAGTTTTCTTCACATATCCCCCCTTCCGTGTGATCCAACACAACCAAGCCTGAAAAAACAAACACTAAATCAGAAGAAATCAGAAAGGTCGATGATGTCGTTGACCATCTCGAAAGGTCTCGCCATGTCGATGTTGTGAAGAAATAAGAAATGAAATGAAGCTGAGAGTGAGAAGAAGAATGAAAGAGAGACCAGATAGAGGAGTTGTGGTAGAGATGAGTGATGGGTGGGGAAGTGTGAGAATGAGTTGAAGCAAGGAGGGCAGGGGATGGGACATGAAGCAGATATGCTAGGTGGCAAAAGTTTGTAGCGCTTAGATATTTCATTCCTTGAATCAATTATAAAAGGGTGGATAAAGTTTGAATTTGTCCTGCAGTTACGTATCATTGGACGAAAAGTGTAGTTGTGAATTAATTAATTAGTTGGATAGTTAAGAAGTGGTGGATAAAGACCCAAACTTCCCTTAAATTGGTGATGTGTAGCGAAATGGAAATGGGGTAAAATGATAAGTTACATAGCCATCGATGTTCTTATATGCTAGATGAGCTTTGAAACATTATGCTTAGTAAAAATTTAAAAAGTTCACTACTGTGGATAAGGCATTTAACAACGGTTGGAAATGATATATAATCACACGGGACCAGGCGTTGTTATGTAGCGTGTGGTTGTATATGCATAACTTATAATTACGGTTCAGGGACCATTATAGAAAACTAGAAAATGTGCGTCCTATCACAATGGTTGTTCCAAAGAACCGTTGTGATATACATATAGGTCCATGGTTTGATTCTCAACATCTCTGTTTTGGTATTTACATTATTCTAGACAGTGCACGAGATATTACAACAGTTGTGTTATTTAACCATTGTGAAACTTTCTGCTAAAGTAATAAATTTAATCCTGCTTTTATAATTTTCCATATTTTTTTATCCTGTATTTTGTGGATCATGTCACAGCTGAACAATCTCAGCAGAATAGACAACTTGCATTTGTGATATAGTTATCATAATCATAATAACAATAAAATTTGGATTAAGAACCAAAAATGGTATATTACTTCAAAACCATAATGTCACAATTAAAAAACAACCTCCAGTTTACACATTACAAAACATCACATCAATGTATCTTGGTGTTTTGGTTTCATGTCTCTAGGTGTCTTTGTCTCTTGGGGTCTTGTCTCTTAGTGTATTGGCATAGAAATACCTATGATTTCAAATAATCATACTTGCATTAGTAAAAATACATAGAAATTTTAACATACAATTAATATATTATGAATTAATAAAAACATACTTACTTGTTAATTTTCCCCTATGCCTTCCTTATGATCGATTCAAATAGCATGTACATCATCTCTATCAACTTCATCATCTGAGGTAGGAACTTGTGCTGTGTAAGAAGGAGTGAATAGAATATCAAGACTTTCATCACTAAGAGGAATGTGTTTTTCTTGGAGAATGATTGACCATTTCCCCGATATGTTGGAAGAGTCGGTCACATATAATACTTGTTTTGCTTGAGAATCCATGATGAATGGTTCAATCATAAAAGATGCCTTGCCATGGTCAACCGTGTGAATCCTAAGTCATTAATGTGTACACCATTACTATTATTGGGAACCCATTTGAATTTAAATAAAGGCACTTTGAAAATAAAATAATCAATCTATCAAATCTCCTCAATGAGACCATAGAAAGCGGTAGTTGCCAATAAATGATTCTTATCTTTCGAACTAGAGAAATACATCAATTCAGCTTCAACCATAAGCCCACTATTTTTCAATGTACTACGATCATCTTTTGATTTTGTATAAAAAGGTATAATGACCAATGTCATATGCAGTCCAAGTTATGACATTAAATTTTGGCTCGTAGAACAACCACTTAAGTATCTCAGAGGCACTACGATCATCAAATACCCTTTTATTAAACTAATCTATAAATCTCTTGTTATGCTCTATCAACAATAACTTGTCGCTCATTCGGGGATATTTTTTCTTCAAAAGTCTTTTATGAGTATCTACGTAAGGTTGCACTTCATCAATATTTTTCGGTATATAGAAATGTGCTTGAATAACTACATATCGAGCCATTAACATAACATTTAGACCGTGAATACCTCTTTCGTCTGTGTGATCAGCATGACGAGACTTTGGAATGCCTATAGAATCTGCTTCCGATAAATAGTTTGTACAAAACTCAACAGCTTCTTCAGTGATGTACCTTTCAATAATTAAAACTTTGGTCGGTGATGATTCTTAGTATATCATTTAAAGATCTTCATTTATCACTCAATTGGATATATCCACCTTAAAATAAATTGGACCACAAAATGTGATTTCTCTGACTAGATGAACAAGTAAGTGAACCATAATGTCAAAAAATGATGGAGGAAAGTACATCTCCCATTGACACAAGATTATGGCAGCCTCATCTTCTAATTCATATAATTTTTTTAAATAAAGAAATTTATTATATATGGCATTGAAGAATAAGCATAATTTGGTTATAGTTACTCTCTCATTTTTTTGGTAGGATCCAAGGATAGCCACTGGTAGAAGTTGTTGCATCGATACATGACAATCATGAGATTTCAAACCAATTAACTTGAGATATTTCATTGATACAAGTTTCTTAATGTTTAATGAGTAATATTGGGTAACTTTATACCATACAAGCACTCGCAGAAATTTTCTTTTCCTTTTTAGATAGAGTGTGACATGTTGGAGGCAAATAAGTTCTATTTCCTCTATCTATCGGAGCCAACTGTTTTTGTATACCCATCCCCTCCATGTCGAGACGGTAAGTCTTACTATATTTAGTATTTCTTGGAATGTTTAGAAGTGTTCCAATAAAACTATCACACACATTTTTATCAACGTGCATCACATTAAGACAATGTCTAACATCAAGACTTGACCAATATGGAAGATCAAAGAACACGGACCTCTTTTTCATATATTTTTCTCAATTGGCCCCTATTCTTTTTCTTTCTTTCTGAAGACAACATTAATGTGTTTATATCATTGATAAACTTAATCCCCTATTAAAGGTTTAGGAGCCATAGAAAACTCTTGCTCTCCATTAAAAGCCTTCTGCAATCTATGATAAGGATGATCGGGTTTTAGAAATTTCTGATGCCCAAGGTAAACGGTCTTTTTCCAAACTCAAGTTGGTGATAATAGATACCAAATTCACATATAGGACACGCTTTATGTCCTTTGACACTATAGCCATCCAAATTACCATAAATAGGAAAGTCGTTGATTGTGTAAAATAACATTGCACGTATCTTAAACTTTGCCCCAGAATATGCATCATCAGCTTCAACGCCTTTATCCCACAAAAGTCATAAATATTCAATTAATAGATCAAGATAAACATCTATGTCGATACCAGGTTGTCGTGGTCCAGAAATTATCATACTTAACAAAATATACTTGCGCTTCATGCACAACCAATGAGATAGGTTGTAAATAGTGAGAAGAATAGGCCATGAAGAATGATTAGTGCTAAGATTACCAAAGGGGTTCATTCCATCAGTGGCAAGCCTAAGCCTAAGGTTTCTTGGCTCAATTCCAAAATCTGAAAACAATGAATCAATTTTCTTCCATTGCAAAGAATCGGCTACATGGAGAATGTTTCCATCATGTTTCCTTTCATCTACATGGCATCTCATATTCTTTGCGTCATTTGAATTAGCAAAAAGTCTCTTAAATCTTGAAATTATTGGAAGTACCATAACACTTTAGCAGGAGGATGCTTTCAACTAACATTGTCATAGTCATTGTCATCACCATTGTTGGAATTCATTTTGTAACGCGACACACCATATTTCGGACATTGCTTCAAGTCTCCGTACTCTTTCTTGTATAACATGAAATTATTAGGGCATGCATGTATTTTGATATACTCCAAACCCATTGGACACAATATCTTCTTGGCCTCATAACAATGATCCAACAAATTGTTATCTTCTGGTAATAGTTTCTTTAGCAAATCAAGTAATTTCGTGAAACTTTTATCTGACCATCTGTTTTTTCCTTCAGATTAAACAACTTTAGCACCATAGAAAATCGTGTAAAACTCGTGCATCCATTATATAAAGGTGTGTCTTTATCACTACATAAAGTATCATAAATATGAGTATTATTATAAGAAGATTTCCCAACATCACGGAAATATCCTCTAGTCGATCATCCATATATTCATCTTCATCCACTCTTTGACTTTCAGATGTCTGACTTCCTTCATTATCCACCTTGCCATGCAACGTCCATATTGTATATGATTGACATATACCAACAACACATAGGTGATGGAATATTTCTTCCTTTGTACCTTTACGGATATTCCCGCATTTAACACAAGGACAATAAAAGATACCATTATTGTCGGGAAGATTTTTATCAGCATATTCAAGGAATCCATGAACTCTATTCCCATAAACCAAACGTAATCTATTGGCTTTCATCCAACTACGATCCATAACAACTTCTTAAATTTATACACAAATAAAAATATGAATGACACGCCAAAATCTAGACCAAAAACTATAACTCTAAACCTTAAGCACGTGAATATAATATTTTTGTTCACTTCTATATCCAACAGAATAGCTAACAAACAACATATATATATATATATATATATATATATATATATATATATATATATATATATATATATATATATATATATATATATATATATATATATATATATATATCTTCCAAGAACAATATACATGAACAACTAACAAACGACATATATATCTATCAATAGCAATATATATGCATAATATATATATATATATATATATATATATATATATATATATATATATATATATATATATATATATATATATATATATATATATATATATATATATATATATATATATATATATATATATATATATATATATATATATATATATATATATATATATATGAACATCTAAGAAAGGGAACAAACATAACAGCTAAGAAAGTTATAATATTTTTGTTCACTTCTATACCCAACAGCACTGATAACAACATTGAATGAAAAAAGAATGAAGAGTATTGTACTTCGAAGATGAGGACGAGAACAAGAATGAAGATGTTGAAGATTTGCATTGAAATGAACAAGAATGAATATGTTGAATATTTTGGATTGAAGATGAAGAGTACCGTTGTCATCTCTGGTTCACTTATTCACCTAGGGCATCTTATGAAAGAAAGAATGATTAAGTTGTTTTAATTTATTAGTAAAACCTTTGATCACGGTTAAACAATTGAACCGTAGTGGAAGTTTAAACAATATAACAACGATTGAATCAACCACTATAGTGACATCCTTTTATTTTTTATTTAAAAATAAATAAAAAATAAAAGGTGC